TTAAAGATATCACCAAAAAAACCCCTGTCTCTCATGTATGTCCTAGACCATCACAGCTACAACATCACTCCACCCTACTACAATGTTCACTAATTCTTTAAAATGACTGCACTTCATGATCTTAGAGAGCTGGATCTTAGAGAGCTGTTTTAAATTCTTATCCCAGTAGGTATAAAATTATTTAAAAAAACTAAATTTCTGCCACATGCTATTTGAGACCTTCAACAAATAACTCTAGGGTCAGGTTATTCGGAGAGCTGTAAGGATACTTCACAAGTCATCTTTAATAAATAAGAGTGACTCTGTTTTAAGTTGCTACTCAGCTATCAAATAGAGGTGGTTCAAAGAGTGTATTTAAAATATTTCAAGTCTTTCAAGTTCCCTTCAGACTTACAAGGCGATAGTCATCTAACTTATGCTGTTGTCAAAGAAATAAAGTTTAATGGACTGAGACTGTAACTCTGGATTTCCTGCCTTTTGTTCACATAAACCCAGACTTCTAGTTTTAGTTTTTAAAAGAAAACATGTCACAGAAGATAATAAAAAATATGCTTTATTTCCCTGGGGGACTAGTCAGTGGGTCAGGTACATGGCTTACATAATCAAGGTTTGGTCCAACAGAAGTGTTTTACATATGGGCTTTAATAAGAAGCACTTTCATGTTCAAGATATTAGATTAAATACCAAAAGGCCTATTGTGGCTTCAGCAATATTAACAAACCCCTACCAGAACATTAAAAAGATAAGTCCCATAGTGACAGTCTGAAGACTTTTTATTTTATTTTAATATAGGGACACAGTATTATGGAGCTGGTATAAATAATGCTATTCAATATTGCAAACAGGCCACTATAATGTTAGAAATGTGATGGTCTACCCTCCCCAAAGCACACTGGCCAAATTATATTGTTTTTGAGAATAAGAGCCTTAAGCCATAACATTTTGAATCAGTTTTTGGGATCGTAGCTAGAAATGTAGGGTTTATTACATCCAGGGCTTTAGGTTTCCACATGTAAGAACTCCACAATTCACAGGGTATTGGTTTGGACCCATCTTTATTGTACCCGCTATCTGATAAATGTTGGCTGTAGCCTATGCTGAAAGGCCCAATTTTGTACAGAATGCAGGCACCGCTGGGGGGGGTGTGACAGAAATGAAACAGTTAAAGAAGGATGTGAAGCACTTAACCTGTTCTCAGGGGGTGCATCCCGATAAGTGCACACATGCATTTCCCTGGGAACAAACAGCAGTGCCACAGCAGTGTGCTACTCCTACTTGTCCTCAGGAAACATCCCTGCATGTGTGCTCTGGCACACAGCAGATTGCCCCAGGTGGGATAGGGGAGGCTGGGGCCAGCACCTGGGTTGGCTCCTGCAGCCTTACGTGGGATCCTGGGGGCCTCCTGGGGCTGCAGCGCTGATGATTCAAGGGCACATGGAGCCTGGCCGGCAGCCAGAGCATGGCTCTGCCAGCTAGGCTCTGGCTTTAGGTGGTGCGCACTGCAACCACGGGTGCTGCCCCACTTTTTTTACTCATTTTTTTAGGTATCAGGATTTCCTGGTATCTAATTTTGGTTCCGTGCTGCAAATATGCAGCACAGAGAACCTTTTGACATGCACCACATGCAGTTTGCAGTGCCTTAAATACCTTTGAGGCACCACAAAGTGCATGTTCCTGCTCATATGGACACTCCCAGGGAGGTTGCATTCTACTTATGAGCATAACTAAAAGGATGTGTTTGCTACTTTCATAGGCTAAACTAGACACAAGGCTGGAAATACTCCCGGGTTCCTTAACTTGTAACCTGCCATGGAAAACAGCTTTTATTTGGGCCACATAAAAAAAAAAATGTTTTTACATTCATTATAGAAACTTCCTTCATTCTGGTGTTGTTGACAAGAAAAGTAGCTCTTCCTATTTTACAGCCTTTCCAGAGACTTGTTCTAGTAAAATGATCACCAAAGTACTGCTCTAGTGACTAAATAACCTCAAGCAAATACATGATTGCGCATCTTATTTTTAGAAGCTGGAATATACACATGCCAAAGGATTTTCTAGCAATTGCTTTAATGGAGCTGGGCTTACAAGGATAACACCAGAATAATTTATTGTCAATGACTTGCAAGACTGGTTTGAATCTTATTTGCACAATTGATGTGCTAGAGGCAGTGGGGACGTGTAGGGGGTACACGGGGATGCGCATGCACCCCCTGACAAGCTGTGCTCCCCGTTCAGGCAACAGGCAGGAGTGGCAGGTGAGAGCGCCAGTGCCCACCCTGTGAGCGCCAGCCAAGGAGCAGGAGCGCCATGGCTGCTTCCCAGCTGGAGTGATTGGCCACAAGGGGACACCCCCACCCCCACCCCCAGTCACTGACTGGTCGCACGGTGGGGGTGGGAGGAAAATGTCCCTCTTGACTAAAGTGGCACCAGTCGTCCATGGCTAGAGGTATGGCCAGGAGCACTATAGTTAGTATCATGGAGGGGAGGTTGGTTAGATGCAATAAAATTAACCTATTCAAAATTCTTACTACAAGGATCTCTGAATTTTAGGCTCTGTGTGTTGGCAAGAGAAGCCAGTCTTCCTTCTCTTGTTACAGCTGTTGTCTTCCAAAGGTGGATTTTATCAGTTGGGTAGCAGAGACAAAAAGTGATATATGATAGTTATGAGAATAAGGAATTAAAAATAAAGTTAAAGTCTTTGTAGGACTTCTATGTAAAAGCACTCTATTTGCATAGCTGTAAGCATTTGAAAAACAGGTAACAAAGAAGAGTAATTTTTGCTGTGGCGAGTGTCTGGGAGTGGACAACACAATGTCTTTCAAACATGAATTCAGGCGCAGCACTGATTGAAAGAGCTAGATATATTTGCTTTGCTGTATTTACACAGTGTGCCCAGTATACAGTCTTTTCTCCTCTAATATTTCCTTTTTCTCTCTAATATTTGCTCACTCCTCTGAACTGAATGTTGTATACTTGTTAAACATGAAAGACTTGGAACAATTTACTTATTAGTCATGATCTTACTAGGGTAACAGGCTTCATTAATTTTGAAGGTGATAAGCATTTCTAACTGATGCCCATGACCAGGTGGCCTGTCCTGCTTATCTACTGGCACATATTACCCCCAACCAACATAGATAAGGTTATTTTACTATTCCCATTTTAAACCTACGTTTTCACATATTCTGAAATGTTTAGCTTCTGAGATAAAACTCTCCATGTTTGGTGCCTTCCCTCAGGTGAAACTGTTTGGAGATTTGAAATAAAATCAGTTATCTTCAGTCTGAATAAAATCTTCAGTAATTTTAAATTATGACAGGGTTAAAAATACAAACTTGCAAATATGTAAGTTTTTCCCTGTGATAAAAGATTCTGACCTTTTTAGATTGCTTAAAAGTAGCTGAACTTCAAACTTCCTTAGGTAAATAGGAATAAGCCTTCCTTTCCTTTTTGTGTGACAAGGTATTTAACAGAATTTGCACATTCATTGGACTCTGACAGGGCCATGCCACGAGCACTTCTGCTACGGCCTCAAACTTTTGACCACTGGGCTTCTAGCCACTCACCCACATCACCAGATCAGGGTATAGGCAGCCCCCGCTTAAAGCTGTTTCGCTTAGAGCTAATTTCACTATAATGCTCATTTTAAATTGATATCAGATCTCACTTAGCACTTAGTGAGTTTCCTTATAGCACTTGCAGTTGCCATCTTGGGTCATCAAATACTTTCAGTTTCACTTAATGCTCATTTCACTTAACACTTGGTTTTTCAGGAACCAATTAAGAGTGCTAAGCGGGGGTTGCCTATATAGAAATGTGAGAAGTAGGCATTCTGTAGCATTTGGGCTACTAGCCATGTGCAACAGCAAGATTCAAAACAGGCATCCTTAGCACTGATTGTCTTTTGAGTAACTCCACTAGCTCTAGCAGGAATACGCTATTAACCTCTATGTCAGGGGCGGACGATTATTTCAGGTGGAGGGCTGCTTACCCAGTTTTGGCAGGCTGTCGAGGGCCACATGGGTATCCCTGCCGCTTGACAGGTGCCCCGCCCCCTGGTCACCATCTTGGGACCAATGTTCCAATGTCTCAGGGCCAGCACCGGTGGGGCCTAGACCTGGGGTGCAGGCTGGCAGGGGTCTGTGGAGCCAGGTTGGGTTGCACCAGCAGGGAGAGGGGGGAGCTGGCCCAGCTCCAAAGAGCCCCTGCTGCTGCCTTGGCCCCATAGCGCCCCTGCCAGGTAGGACCCTGTACTCCTGCCTCCCTGCTCTGGGCCTGGGACACCAGTGTGGGCCCCATGCACACGCACACTCCCAGTGCTCCCCAGCCCTGCGGTACAGATGTGGGGGCAGCGTGCAGCCCTGACCCCCTGCTCGCCAGCAGGGAACAAGCTGGTGCTGAGCATGGGGCAAAGCAGCCCCTCCCCCGCAACATGGCCAGCACTCCCTGCGACAGCCACTCGCAGTCTGTGCGGAGTTGTCCTGAGCAGGCACAGGAAGCCCCGCCCCGGCCGGCAGCG